GTCCTCTGCTAATCCCCTTACGATGGGCCCCTAAACTTTCACCTGACCACCGGCAGACGGTCTAATGCCTATCTAAACAATGCAAATACTCGGACATAGATACACATTCATATGTATCTAATATACACGTTCATATGTATCTGATACTAGGTTCTGTCCTCGACTTCATACGCGTAATCCCGTTTTTTCCCGTTCCGTACGTGATTTTCGTTAAAAAGTATAAAAGTATTGAATAAAAATATATTCATCCTATGTCCATCTCCTGGTTCTAAGCTACCTCCCTACCAATTTTCATTTAAATCTATGTAGCCGTTCTTGAGTTATAAATAGTGTCACAAAAACCTTTCTTTTATATATAGACTAGCCTCTGCCCGCGACTTTGTACGCGTTATCTCGTATTTTCCCGTTCTCGTAGGAATTTCGGGAAATCTTTGGTTATAAATTATCCTATGTTTGTCTCCTGGTTCTAAACTACCTCCCCACCAATTTTCATCCAAATCATTGTAGCCGTTCTCAAGTTTTAAATAGTGTAATTAACACGACTATCTTTTATATAAATATAGATGGATGTATATGACTAGGACAGAATATAGTCCCAGATTGTAACTGAGATAAAAAACCCGTAAGTAGTATCTAATAAGTTAATAGTTATTTCTGAAGTAACGTTATGTTAAATACATACATATAAACAACATCAGCCTGTTTCCGTCTACTGCGAAAAATGGAGAACTCCCCTAAAATCTAACACGCTAAACAAAAGCGACACAATTAATTACATATACCTTCAAACTAACGCAAATAATTATACCTTCTATATATCGTATATTTACATGTTTTTTGTACTATGTATATTAACTTGTATATAACTAATTCAGATCCTACTTATACGACTTTGACCGCTGAGAAGTATAAAAAAGAAACATTCAATAGATTTTTAAGTGTTTCGTGAAGAACAAAATACTCTCTCATATCTTGTTACTAACCAAAAAAGACTAACAAACTTGGAAAAACATACCAAAAATTAACAGATACACGCTAATTTGTAATCCTAAACAGTATTATTGAATTATACTTGAATATTATGTGTCCTACAAAGATAAAAACAGCTTAAGATTTCACGATTCATACTTTGAATACATTTTTAAGCGAATTAGTGTTAAGAAGACGATAATATTTCAAGATAACTAAATATATTTGAGTACCATTGCTAATACAATTCACGAACGGGCTTTGTTATTTGGAAAATAATAACAAGAAACAATAATACACTTTATAAATATCTTTTACATCCATTTAGACCGATTTATTTAATTAGTATCGATTTGTAAATATGTCGTCTAAATGTACTCATTACTAGAGTATCCGGTTGCTGGTAAAAGGTTCATTTCCTTATGCAGAACCGGAATGACACAGTAATATTTAAGTCAAATAGAAACTTCTCTTCTCTCAATAAGTTACGGATTCATGTAAAAATCTACTGCTCTTCGTTGGTAGTTGATAACATTGACATAAGCTCTCAATAATGTTAATAGGTAATGTGACCGATATTAAATGGATTATTAATATAACAGTCTAGAAGAACTATGTAAAAATCTTTCAGTCCGAATTACTGTAATAATTTAATAAATCACAAAGAAATATTGGACGCCATTTACTACCCGACATCATTATTATTTTGAGTTAACATCACTCTCAATCGACGATGGAAAACTCGCCCTAGATTTCCGAATACCTATTTTCAACAATAAAAACATAATTATTATGTTTTTCAGCTTACTCACGTAATTATTTGACGAGGAACTCGACTAGTTTCAAGCCATGCCAGTGGCTCATATTCATGAGCAGCATTGCATTCCGCGACCTGTGACGCGACGACTGTCGTCCTGCTACTGATATTTACACACGTAAGTAAGCCGAAAAACGTGATAAGTAATTAATTTAGCAAATTTGTCTCATGAAAGTTATAATAATATCAACTAAAATATAATTATATTAAACTTATCACCCACAACCAGTGAAGGGAACACAACCCCTTGCATATCTAAGCCAGTACTTGCAGTTGTTAAGTAAGTTAAGCTGTACCTACGTATCAACTGACCGTCCTGTCTACCTAGGTAACATGACCTGAGTCTCAGACGCCCTAGGGCTTAGGTCTAAGCCTCACAACCTTTATTATACTCTACTTTAATACTCAGATTTAACTTTACTACAAGTTCCGGTTAACTGTGTCTTAGGTTGTGTTCTTGGTGTTAATAGTAAGAAAATTTTAGTTTTTATTATAGTTTTTAGCTAAGTAACATTCTTTAATCACTATTATTTTTGTAGCACTAAAAGAGTATCGATGTCAATGCCGCTTAAACCTTATCCATTCCAAAATTGGCATTTGAATGTATACGAATAAACTCGATTTTGCTTTGTAGAAGCAGACTCACATCTGTCTCATCATTAAACAACAAAAGAAATAGGAGAAAATTGGGATGAAACTCAATTTTTGGTTTCTAAAGAATGCGTAATTTACGCGTTCAGTACTTTAAATCAAATCTCTAACTGATAAACCACAAATTAACAAACCTCCATTAATTAACTTTCATACAAACAGGATCAAATGATAACTATTACAATATAACAATTGTATAAGACCTTATACCATATCAAACTCTTCCAAGATATTATATAAATGTTATAGTATCATGTTGGTTGGTTTAATTAAGAAAATCATCCCCAGTTCATCCCCTCGCACTCAACCCTACATTTGACACCATTTTATTAATTCACTGAGTATTTTCAGATACTCGTGAGTCCCTGTTTGTGAGTTTAGTGCGGTTTTGAGTTCGTCTATTGAGTTTAATCGTAATTCGATTTGTATATTGAAAGTTTCTGATAATTTATAGATGTGGTTTTCTGTTTCCAGTCTTAGGTATAGTACAGTTTTGTATAACACTGTTATCTGTTATAATTTTGGATGTTTAAAGAGATCAGATTCCCCGCTTTTATACTGAGTTTTTCGGTAAAGAGTACTTAACTACACTTCTTTTATAATTTCTTGTTGAGACTTTTTATAAGTACTAGCAGATACCTAGCCACTACAATTTATCATTACACGTAATTTTTCTAAGTAAACCTACTTAACCGTGCCTAAAAGGTTAAGTAGATATAAGCATCAAAACATTTCCATATTTCGTAAAGATTTTAACAGTACATGCGTAATGATATTTAGAATTGTTAACGTCAAGTATATGATGCTATTGTTCTTTGTGTGTTAGATGTACATACGAATATATTATGAAACACTGTATGTATGTAGATGTGTAAAGTAACAAGCACATCACTTCTCAAACAAAACATATGAATTCAATAAGACCGATACGATTTAACGAACACCCCTAGAGGGTAATTAATTCAATCGCGTATAAGGGCGCCGCTGAAGGAAACGTCATCATTATCTAAGCCGTTGTTGCGGCAACGTGGTGCCGCGGTGTGAATGAGTGTCGTGTGTCTCTCAAGCTTTTGTCCCACCCCTCGTCAATCGGTAACACATTTACCCACTTACGACTGGGTGAAAACTTGCAAAACGAACACCATTGTTAAGATCGCTACAGACACAATGCCCTGTCGCTGCGGCGCGCTTATCGACTGCGCGTCAAAGAAGTTCAAAAGCTCGGTTTAGACGTTCGCTATCGCGGCGTCGTTTGTCAGTTTACGCCGGGAGCTATGATTGTCTCTACGTTACAAATGGCCTTTTTGAGGGCGACGTTTGTTACCGTTTTAATTGACATCGCGAAAGTATCACAGCACCGAGAAATTTTCGTATCGCGCGACGTCGCGTGTGTGAAGACGCGCCGGCATTCGACTTTGAGGTGCCTTTGTTTTGTCCTGTACTCAAATATAAATTCATATTGTAATACGTAGGTACGTACCGACACGAATATATCATTTCTATTTTCATAAAGTCTACTTGAAATAATCTCCACATTTCGATAAATGTTTACCTTATATAAAACAGTAAAGTGGCGCAGATTTCCTCCGCTACGCGTGCGCCACTCGACAGATTATTTTCCGTAGAAGCGCGCTACGATAACATGTAGCAGTTAACAACGTCTACGGCTTTACGTAACAATGTGCGTTTGAGTATTAATCTCATTTGTGTAATAAAATCTGTGCCTTAGCCGAGCCGATGGCAAGGCGTGATCCGGCCGTGAAATGCTTGCCTCCGCACGATAATCCTGTTAGGTTAAGAAGGTTTCTACATATTACGTGCTTTGCTACGCCTTAAGGATTAAAACGACGTGTACGCATAACTCGATACGTATTGTTAGGGAAGACATACCCTCCGCATATCGATTTTCCATCAGCTGTATCATAATAATGTAGCCGCTGTGAAACGATGAACTCGTCTACGAATTTATAGGTATTCATTTAGCGGAGACTAGTCCAGCCGGGCTTAAGCGATTACGCCACGGCAAAGATGCAACGTAGATTTACAGCAAAGCTTGCCATGACAAGGTGGTCATCGCAAGCCCCTAGATCTTTATGCCGGACAATGAAGACAAAGGACCTTTAAATTATTCAGACAAAGTAAAAGCGACCTTAATGCTTGAAGCGTAACAACCATTTGTAAATATTTAAGTTTGCGCGTCAATTTTGTGTTAAGACGAATAGTTTGCATGAGAGAGGAATCGGAGAGCGTCTGGGAGGCTAAACCTACCCTCGGGCCAGTAGGGGGCCGTCCATAAATAATTAATCTGCAGCAATGTGCGTCGGACGGTTAACTAAATCCTGCGGCGGTTTAGGAAACTGGCCGTCGGGGATACCTCAAGAACTGAATACTGTTTCTTGTTTCAATCCTGTTCTCAGATAGACGGTGCTCGATGTAATCCCTGTATTTGGGCTACACCACAGGCTTCACTGTACAATTAAATTTTAATTTCAATTTTAACTGAATATTAAGGTATATAATATTAAATATTTGGTACGTAATGATTCAGAGAAGACTGTAGCGGATCATCACTTGGACCACCACCTTATAATTTGAAGAAAATCGCCATCGCTTGTGATTTTGTACCGCGGCCTTAAATCAGGTGAGGTGGTGGTTGACGCCCACTACACTTGCACGCGCAGCAATGCATGCGCCGAGTGCATGTTATTTGTACGGGAGTCAGCGACGAAGACCTTGAACGACCGAGCCGCCGCGTGCATGCGAGCTGTCCTACGTGATCGCCGAGAACCGCCACACAGTGCGTCTTCCACCCGCATACGAACAGCAACTCAGTGCTACCTTATTTCTCTCACCTCATTTTTATTTCTCTGTGCTTATCTGTATTTGCTTTCTAATATATAATTGCTATTAATCTTAATAATATCATTCATTTTCTCGTGCTAAAAATCATTATTGCTATCCTCCTTCCCTGCTGCGCTCGCTTCACCACCGTGTTAATCTGAACTTTAAGATTAACGCCGTACAGGTCAAATTCCCACGAAGTTGTTGGTGCCGGTACTACTACCCGCACCACATTGGTGACCCCAAATACTGCGCCGTGAAGAGCAAGCGATCCAGGTGTCCAGGAGCAACAGAAAAGGAACTAAGGTCAGGCAAAACTTTTATTTCTACTCAGTGAGTGACGAAAGTGCGGGGTGTGGTCTCATCGCATAAGCGGAGCGATTTTAACCACTTTCAAAAATGACGGAACCGGAGGGTTTCGTTGACTATAAGGACGCTCCTGTTATCCAAAGAGAGGTCTCTGGAGTAGGAATGCCATTGCGTTGCCCGCCATTTTGCCCGGAAGAACCGGCTCTATGGTTCGCGCAGCTGGAGGGCCAATTTGTTCTCTCTAGAATCACGAGCGATTCAACAAAATTTTATTATGTGTCCGCTCAGCTAGAAACTAAATATGCCTTGCAAGTCAAGGATATAATCACAAACCCGCCTGAGGCAAATAAATACCAGATTTTAAAAACCGAGCTAATGAAACGGTTGTCAGCTTCCCAGGAGAAGCGCATACAGCAATTACTTTGCCACGAAGAATTAGGTGACCGCAAACCGTCGCAATTCTTACGGCACTTGCAAAGCCTGGCTGGGCCATCAGGCGCTACAGATTTCGTCAAAAGTATTTGGACTAATCGGTTACCCCAAAACATTCAGACAGTCATTGCCTCACAAATAACTGAGTTACAGGTGGAACAATTAGCTGACATTGCAGACAGGGTGTACGAGATAGCTCCGACGACACCGCAGGTTGCCAGTACCTCCACACGCGCCAGCGACACTGATCTGGCAAGAACAGTCACCGAGTTGACAAAACAGGTAGCGGCACTCACCCTGCAGATGAACAGAAGAGGAAGAGACCACTCGCGCTCACGTTCCCGCTATCACAGAAGCGCTCACAGAAGGTATGACCGTTCTAATAGTAGACTACGGCAGCCACCTCCAAACCACCCACACTGTTTCTATCACTATACCTACGGTGACAAGGCTAAGAACTGCAAGGAACCCTGTACGTATAAATCGGAAAACAGCAAGGGCGGTCGCAAGTAGCGGCTAACGACTGCCCCACTTCTGCAGGCCGTCTATTTATAACTGACCGAACCTCAAAAATGCAGTTCCTCGTGGACACTGGTTCTGACTTGTGTGTTTTTCCTCGTTCAGCTGTCAAGACGCCATGCATCCGATCACGATATGATCTGGTAGCTGCCAACAGCACCGTGATACATACCTACGGGCCTATTCAACTGCAACTAAATCTAGGTCTTAGGAGGAACTACAGCTGGAGTTTCACTATTGCTGACGTAGGGAAGCCCATCATTGGTATAGATTTTCTCAGCTTTTATAACCTCTTAATAGATTGCAGAAACCAGCGATTGATCGACAACGTTACGTCCCTCTCAGTACCTGCTGCAAACTGTAGAACAGCGGATATCGCATCTGTAAAGGCTGTTGTGGGTGACACTGATTACCATCGTATTTTACGCGAGTTCCCGGAGATAACACGGCCTCCAGGTAAACAATTAACGGGTAAGCACAACACTTTGCACTTTATAAGGACAACACCAGGTCCCCCGGTAGCTTGTAAGCCCAGGCGCCTTGATCCAACTCGACTGCAGATCGCTAAGAAAGAGTTCGAGAGTATGCTGGAAAACGGAGTAGCTCGACGGTCTGAAAGCGCTTGGTCAGCACCTCTGCATCTGGTGAAAAAGAAGGACGATGGATGGAGACCGTGCGGTGACTACAGAGCACTAAACGCCCGCACCATACCTGACAGGTACCCTATACGTCACATCTACGACTTTTCTCACCAGCTATCTGGATGTACCATCTTCTCTACAATAGATCTCGTCAAAGCGTACAATCAAATTGCTATTAACCCTGAAGACATTCCAAAGACGGCGATAACCACGCCCTTTGGTCTTTTCGAGTTCCCTTTTATGACTTTTGGCTTGAGGAACGCGGCCCAAACCTTCCAAAGGTTCATCGACGAGGTCCTTCTTGGACTCGAGTTTTGCTACGGGTACGTAGATGACATCCTGGTCTTCTCAGCATCTCCTGATGAGCATAAGGTACACCTGCGTCTACTGTTCGAACGTCTTAAACGGTACGGCATCGTAGTAAACACAACCAAATGCAACATTGGACAGTCGAAGGTTATCTTCCTGGGATATGACGTGTCAGCCGAGGGTACGAAACCGGTAGAAGCTAAGGTGCAGGCCATTCAGGAGTTTCCAGTTCCCAAGACGGTAAAAGAGCTGCGACGGTTCCTCGGGATCATCAACTTTTACCGTCGATTTATTCCGAATGCCGCTAGGATTCAGGCACCATTAAACAACGCTCTCGCTGGCTCAAAGGTAAAAGGCTCACATCCGGTTAATATGACACCGGAATTGCTGAAGGCATTTAACGACACTAAATCATCGCTGTCTAAGGCAACACTACTAGCCCATCCTGACGCATCAGCAGAGTTAGCAATTGTTACAGATGCATCTGATACCGCGATCGGCGCGGTTCTTCAGCAGCGGAAAGCTGACAACTGGCAACCATTAGCCTTCTTCTCCCACAAGCTCAGTGATGCCCAGAAGAAGTACAGCCCGTACGACCGTGAGCTACTTGCCATCTATGAAGCCATTAAGTACTTTCGACACATGGTCGAAGCTAGGAAGTTCTCAATTTTTACAGATCACAAGCCTCTTATTTTCGCCTTTAAGACGAACAGAGATAGTTGCTCGCCACGACAATTCAGGTACTTAGATTTTATAGGACAATTTACTACAGACCTACGATACTTACCTGGCAATGAGAACGTCGTCGCCGACGCCTTGTCACGCATCGAGGAGGTATCTGCAACTGGCATTAACTTCGAGGAGCTTGCAAAACTTCAGGACGAGGATCCAGAACTGCAAGATCTACTGCGGCACGGCTCGTCGCTGAGGCTAGAAAAGCTAGCCACTAGCTGCAGTAACTACTTGCCAGTATACTGTGACGTTTCGATGCAGATTCCTCGGCCGTATGTTACTCCGTCTCTACGTAAACAGGTTTTCAACTCACTGCACAACCTCCATCACCCGGGAAAAGCAACTACAGTGCGACTGGTCACGCAACACTTTGTGTGGCCAGGGATACGCAAGGATTGTAGAGAGTGGGCTAGGCAATGTCTACAATGCCAGATGTGCAAAGTCTCACGTCACACAAAATCTCCACTTTCCTCCTACCTTACGCCTGCTTCCCGATTTTCCCACATTCATCTTGACCTCGTAGGGCCTTTAACCCCTTCTAATGATTACAGGTACTGCCTCACTGTCATCGACCGATTTACCCGTTGGCCTGAGGCGTATCCCTTAAAGGATATAACGGCGGAGACCTGCGCAGCTGCCTTGATGTCTGGTTGGATAGCCAGATTCGGCTGCCCGGCGCGGGTGACCACGGACCGTGGTCGCCAATTCGAGAGTCATCTGTTCAAGGCTCTCACATCCTTGGTGGGCGCACATCACTTCCGCACTACAGCCTACCACCCAGCTGCGAATGGCATCGTTGAGCGGCTGCATCGTCAACTGAAGGCCGCCATCATGTGCCATGCTCCTTCACAGTGGACAGAAGCCCTTCCACTGATTCTACTTGGCATGCGTAACTCGTGGAAGGAAGACATTCACGCCACGCCTGCGGAATTGGTCTACGGAGAGACACTGAACTTACCTGCACAGTTCCTGTCTCCTAAAGATGACTACACCACCGCTGACGTCACAGAGTACGCCACACGTCTACGGGCTCATATGGCCAAGATCAGTCCGAAACCTACTTCTTGGCACACCAGCGGCGCTAATTCACTTTTCTACGTGCCGCGAGGTCTACATACCTGCTCACACGTTTTCGTTCGCCGAGACCATGTCAGAAGCTCACTGGAACCACCATATGCCGGACCTTATAAAGTCATACGGAGACAGCCTAAGTACTTCGAAATAGATATTAAAGGTAAATCTAACAACATCTCCGTTGACAGACTGAAACCTGCCTATACGACGCTAGACGAGAGGGAAGTTCCAGTCCCAAGAGCAGCAGAAGAAACCATCACTAGCAACACGGCTACTGCTACTTCAACAGAAGGCAAGAAGACTACCAGAAGCGGTAGACGAGTGAAGTTCCCCGATTTCTATCGACCGTAGTCACGGTCTGGCCGGGGGGAATATGTAGCGGATCATCACTTGGACCACCACCTTATAATTTGAAGAAAATCGCCATCGCTTGTGATTTTGTACCGCGGCCTTAAATCAGGTGAGGTGGTGGTTGACGCCCACTACACTTGCACGCGCAGCAATGCATGCGCCGAGTGCATGTTATTTGTACGGGAGTCAGCGACGAAGACCTTGAACGACCGAGCCGCCGCGTGCATGCGAGCTGTCCTACGTGATCGCCGAGAACCGCCACACAGTGCGTCTTCCACCCGCATACGAACAGCAACTCAGTGCTACCTTATTTCTCTCACCTCATTTTTATTTCTCTGTGCTTATCTGTATTTGCTTTCTAATATATAATTGCTATTAATCTTAATAATATCATTCATTTTCTCGTGCTAAAAATCATTATTGCTATCCTCCTTCCCTGCTGCGCTCGCTTCACCACCGTGTTAATCTGAACTTTAAGATTAACGCCGTACAGGTCAAATTCCCACGAAGTTGTTGGTGCCGGTACTACTACCCGCACCACAAGACCGTGCACATCTATTGTTTAGATTTCTTGTTACATTTTTCCTGCATGCATGTGACTTGCACTAAAATATGTACATAACATATAATTTAATATAGTACGTACAGTAGAAGAAAGTCAAAAGTTACTCACTTTCAATAAAAATAGTACCTTTTATTGACTGATGTTATTTTTTTAAATTATGATGATCATTGGGCAGTATACAACTTACTCGTAAATGTATTGATTATGTAATGCATACTGAGTTCGATATCCCGTTTTACTTTTAACTTCTGAGTAAGTGCAAGTATAGTCAATATACCATTGAATACTAAATTTAATTCCAAATTATAACATTTCATTACAAAACTTAAACTCGACTATCAACTGCCAAAAAGTCACCTTCATACTTTGTTGTGAAAATTAACACAATATAATTATGTTCTTCTAAATGAATGATTTTAGTAATGTTTGTAACAAATATAAGTAGATATTTAGCCTGTCTGTGTATCAGTTTGTCCGGGCTAGGAAGCCCCACGAGCAAGCAACAAGCGTCTTGCGGCTCTGCGGATGGGCGCGGATTAGGCCCGGTACGTCTATAAGACACTCACGTATCTATATATTATCTGTATACATTATTTTGTTTATATTTCGAAGCCGGCTGTGATTTGAATTGTTTCTATTTTTGATTTTTTTTTCTTTTGTTGTTTTTTTAATGTCATTTGAGTTTGTTTTTGGTTAGTTCGGTAATTACGGACTATTTGCTACATGAAGTACTTTCTTATTAGATTTGGTTCCAATTATTTATTTTGAAACTAATTGACTAACACATGAGCATAACTTAATCTTAATCGAAAAGTATCGTACACGAAACGAATCCACTATAATAAATATACGAATTAATATATAAAACGCAAAAAAAAATATGGAAATGAATTAACCAATATTATATTTACCGATGATTGAACTAAAGACTGCGTATTGGCATAGTCACACCAACATAATAATCTCATAAAAAGAAATTCAAATATCTACGTATCCTGTAATACCTACATACCAACCATTACCAAACACGCATTAGTAAGAACTACATAAGTATAAATATTTAATACTTCGCTAGGTTTAGTTAAAACAAAACTACCGGGCAAGGGGTCTTGCGTTCGATTCCCGGGTCGGGCAAAGTAAAACTGGGTTTTAAAAAAATCTTAGTAGTAGCCCGGAGTCTGGAATTGTGCCCGGTATGTGGCAATAGGTTTACCCCCTATTACATGGGACTCGTAATATAAAAAGTGAAAAGTGGGTGTTACTTTGTGTGCACCTCTGCCTACCCCTTCGGGGATAAAAGGCGTGATGTTATATTATGTAAAACTGGTCCCAGACAAAAGTTGTAA